AGAGAATTATTGGTTGGCTACCTCCTGCACACCCCACACTGGGGATCAAGCCTGCAACCCTGGAATGTGCCCTGACCAGGAATCGAACCGTGACCTCCTCCTCCTGGTTCATAGGTCAATGCTCAGTCACTGAGTAGCTGGGGGCTGGGCTGAAATTTGTTTTTATAAATAATGGGAGAAAAAAATTATGAATTATGAATCTATCATTAATAAATGGAGTTTAATAAATGGCAGATCCAGAATCCATAAGAAAAAACTAGTTTTCCCCATTATTAAGTTGTGAACGACACCTGAGATTAGTGAAAAGCCACATGAAGGAGGACTTGCTCTGATGTGTGTCCAATTTGATGTTTCCATGTGTATGTACTTTTATTTTTTACATTTATATTAATTTCAGAGAGGAAGTGAGAGGGAGAAAGAGATAGAAACATCAATGATGAGAGAGAATCAGTGATCAGCTCTCAGCCCAGGTATGTGCCCTTACCAGAGTTGAACTGTGGCCTTCTAGTTCATGAGGCAATGCTCAACCACTGAGCCACACTAATCAGGCAATATTTTAAATTTTATTTTTAATTCATATTAAATATTTCTACAAAACATTTTACCCCATAGCTCTAGGGTTAAAATAAAGTTATTGTTTTTGTTTGTTTCTAACTCTCTTTTTTAAAATTTTATTTTATTTTTCCATCACCATTTATTCCCTCTATGCCCTCTTAACAAATTATCATGTTTCCCAAATTATTTATAAAAGATAAAAATGAAATGTGATACTCAAAAGTAAAGATCACAGGTGACACCCTTCTATTCCTAAAATTTTGTAGTAAAACTATTTCAGAAAAAAAGAAAATTGTTGGACTTTATAGTAGTCCAATGCGACATATTTGATAGGCACAAAATGTGCAGTTTCTATACTTTTTTTTTCTAGACCATATACCTGTGAGAGAGAAAATCTTCTTGTTACATTGAAATGAAAAAAAAAATGAAAAATGAAAGGAAATGAAGTATATAGATAAACACTTGGTTTTATGTGTGCTTTGAAGATTAAAAAAGGACCTGGTTTCTGACACTTGACACATACATGATATAAGAGTCCCAAACACAGTTTTCATTTTAACATATTTTCTGTTAGTCATATTTCATAAGAATAATATAAAATGAAAGATGTTTTACTTTCTCTTTATACAATTTAGTAATGACTATAAAATGAAATATCATTGTTTTTCTGGCAAAGATTTAGGAAGGCAAATATATTCGAAGATTGGAAGGAATGAATCCTTCAGCCACATGCCCCTGTAGATTTGAACTGAATCACAATAGAGGAGCAGGATGAATTATGAAGAGACACAAGCAGTGCAGACAAACATGGCATGTCTGCATAGGAGCCGGGAGAATTAAAATACAGTGCCTGCTTAGAGATACACACTCTAGGAAAACATGTACCTTGGTCCCCCTGCACACATGGTCGCCCTCCAATTTCTGTCCTGAGTTGGAATTCTGACCCAACTTGCTTCAGCCACTTGACAAAGAAGGAACCCCAGAGGGGTGGCAAAGAGGATGGGACTTTTCTCTCTTAGCTTCTCTGTAGTAGGAGAGAAGTGCCTAGTATCATGGTCTGGGACAGGGACTCAGGACAAAAAAGAAAGGAATTTTGAGTGTGTCTTGTACCAATTTGATTATAAATGATACAATAAAAATGTTATAACTTCCCTATAATCGCTTCACTAGAGAAATAGTACAGTATAAAGGTGTCATGTTGTCGACACGGGCTGAATCTAAATCCTCGTTCTGCTACTTGTTGTCACAATTTCCTCATCCATATAAAACAGAGATAACAATACAGTTGTTATCAGATCTAAAAGCTCTCAATAAGAAGGCTA